ATAATAGAGCGTTATTAACAATATATATTATAAACAATTCTTTAACTAGTTAATTTAAAATATTAAAATTACTTTATCTATTTGATTAAATAATATCTAAATAATTTTAATATAAATGTGAGTAAAAAGATGCTTGTTATTAATATGGTCCAAGTTCATTTTGTGCTTTCTAATAAAATTATTATTTATTACAAATAGATCTATCACAAGGTAAATATATTTATATAAATTGTGGTTATTTAAATTTATAAAATATCTAATATTTGTATTAATATTTTAAGATGAAAATAATATATTTTAATCAATTAATCATTCTAAAGAAGATGAAGAAATATATATTGATGATAATAATTTTTCAAGTATGGAATTAGAAATTATAGATAAGAATAATGACAATAAATATTTAACAGAATCAGTTGATAGTAGTTTTTATGAAACTGAAGAAAGTGAAGAAGAAACGAATGAACCTGAGATTGCAAATAGTTCATCATCTAAAAAGTCAACTAAAAAATAAAGAAATGCTAGTTGGGTATGGAATCATTTTGATGAAGAACCACCAACTAAAGAATGAAAAAAAATAGGCAAATGCAAAGTTCTAATTCCTAAAAAAAATAATAATAAAGAAAAATGTAAATGTGAAGTTATAGTTCATACACAAGGGTCAACAACAAATTTTGCAACTCACTTAGTCATGGAATTGTAAAACCGCAATTGGCTATAAATAAAGCAAACAATTCACAACCAAAAATTGATGTTATATTTAAAAAATCTACAACTAATCATATCAATCAGAAAGAAGCAATTCATCAAGCATTAGTAGAATTATAATTAAAAATTCTCAACCATTTTATTTACTTAAAAGTCATACTTTTATTAAATTTATAAATTTATTAGATCCATCTTATGAATTACCATCTGACAAATATATTAAAACCTTAATTCATCAAGCATTTATTTATTCAACTAATAAATTAAAAACATTATTTGATAAAGATCTTACTTCATACAATTTAACATGTGATTTTTGGACAGCTCGATCACAAAGTAGTTATTTCGATGTTACTTGTCACTTTATTAATTCAGAGTTTAAATTAAATGAGGTTACTTTAGCTATGCATTATGTTCCTTATCCTCATGATTCTAAAACAATTGCAACTGTTTTAGAAAAAGTTATTAATGATTGGGGGTTAAATAATAAAGTTGATCATGTAACAAGTGATAATGTGATAACCATGATCAAGGCTATTAAGCTTATAAAAAATATAGACAGAATTCTCTGTGCTGCTCATACACTCCAATTAGCAATTGGAAAAAAACTTAAGCTTGCTAAAATACTAGTTATTCAAACTAAAAGGTTAATTATTTTTTATTATCAACAAAACAAACTGAATATTTAATAGAAGCTCAAAAGATACTTCGAATATCTGAGGATGAAATTAATAAGCAAAAAGAAACATATATTCGAGCAATTGCAGATATATCTACTAGATGAAATTCATTATATATATCTTGGAAACGATTGTTATAGCTTCAAAAAGCATTAGATATAATGCTAGCAACAATGGATGCTGAATCTGATTATAATATCAAAAAAAATGCTAAGCGACTTTATGCAATTATAATAACTAAAAATAAATAGCAAATATTAGAACAATTAATAAATTTATTAGCATCTTTTGCCAAAGCAACTACTTTACTTGGAAGTAGTACTTATTCTACTATAAGCTTTATGTTACCAGAAATTAAAGTATTATTACAAAATTGTAAACCTAAAGCAAGTGATTATGAGAATTATCAAATTGAATCTAAATCTGATAATATAAATTTTGATGATATTACTACAATATTTGATAAAGAAGAAATTATTGTAGATTATGATTATGATAATAAAATCGAAATTACTATAGATGCTAAGAAAATAAATGTAAATGAGTCTATTGAAACTAAGAGACTAGTATATAAAGTAAAAAATACACTATATGAAGTGTTAAAATATTATTGGAAATTACCTTTAGAAAGTTCTTTATTTGCAACATTTTTAGATCCACGATATAAAAAAATGGATAAATTTTTTGAATGAGAATGAGAGCAAGCAATTGAAGCTATATGAGATTTAGTTCAAAAATATACAAATCAAACTAATTCTTATCATAAATCTACTAATATTAATATAAATAATAAATTACTTAATCTTATATTTGGTAATCAAAAGCAATTAAAACGTAATGAAGTAGATTTATATTTAAAAATAAAAGAAATAAGCTATAATGCTAATCCTTTTACTTGGTGGGATAATGAAAAAACAAAATTTCTAATTCTTTCTAATTTAGCT